TCCCAGCATTCTAGGGCTAGAAGAAAAACAGAGCCCATCCCCTGTAGTTCATCCTCAAGGAGGGGAGACAGGAACTTACGTGGCTAACAGTGTGCAGCTTTGAAACACACTGGAGGTTAGAGAAAGCTGAGACAGGAATGTCATAGCAGGAGGCCCGCCAGTCAACCACAAGGCCCGTCACAGAGCCCAATGCCTTGGCCCCACAGTGGCCCACAACTTAGAAGCACAAGGTTCTCCATCCATGCAGACTCGACATTGCTCAAGGGGGCTAATTCATGCTAAACAGACTCAAAGACGTCAATATCTAAACGAGCGTAAAACCAATTTACTAATTTACCTTTCCAGCAGCTTTTCATGTCTGCTGTCCAGGACAGGCACTGACAGCATAATTCAGGGAACTCGTTTGTAAAGGATTCATAAGCACCAAGTAAGCACCTGACTGCAGGAAATAATACAGCCAACTGAGGTGGAGACCCAGAAAAGGGAGGTGGAACTGTGCAATGAACTTGGCATCAAACAAGCTAGAGTTCAAACACTGTCCACCATTTATTAGGCAGGTGACTCGAGGAAAATTACTTAAACTTCCTGAGTCTCTCTCCTCACGATTGTTATTAAGTGAGGTTACATACGAAAATTGCCTAGATTTACGTTTATATTTATCTGGACAGGCTGAGGCACATATGGTTAAGTAGACAGACTTTGGGATCCTACAGATTTGGGTCTAATTTCTAGCTCTGCCACTTACTAAGTACATGATCTTGGGCAAGTTACTTGACATTTCCCCCCCAGAGCCTGTTTGCCCTTTTGTAAAATGGGAATAAAAAATTCCTCACAGCCCTGGCCGGTTTGGCTCAGCGGTTGAAGCGTCCGCCTGCGGTCTGGAGAGACCCAGGTTCGGTTCCTGCTAAGGGCATGTATCTCAGTTGCAGTTTGTCCCCGGTCCTGGTTGGGTCGTGCGGGTGGCAACCACTCGATGTGTCCCTTTCACATCGATGTCTCTCTCTCTCTCTTCCTCCCACTCTATCTGAACAAAAAAATGGGAAAATGTCCTTGGGTGAGGATAAAAAAAAAAATTCCTCCCAAGGGACCCTAGTACACTGCTGGTGGGAATGCAGACTGGTGCAGCCACTATGGAAAACACTATGATGTTACCTCAAATAAAAACTGATTTGCCATTTGACCCAGTGATCCCACTTCTAGGAATAAATATACCCTAAGAAGCCTGAAACACCAATCAGAAAGAATATATTTACCCCTATGTTCACAGCAGCACTATTTACAATAGCTAAGATCTGGAAACAGCCCAAGTGTCCATCAATAGACGAGTGGATAAAAAAGCTGTGGTACACAATGGAGTACTATGCAGCTGTAAGAAAAAAAGATTTCTTATCCTTTGAGAGGACATGGAGGGACCTGGAAAGTATTATCCTAAGCGAAACAAGCCAAGTAGAAAAAGTCAAATATCACGTGATCTCACTTATTTCTGGACTATAATAAACTAAACAAACTGATGAACAAAACAGACCCAGAGTCGTAGAAGTAGGATACATACAGATGACAATCCTCAGAAGAGGGGGTGGGGGGAGGGAAGAGATAAACCACAAAACTTATATGCATGTATGCATAACCAATGGACACAGACAACGAAACTGGGGATGGGGAGGAGGGTGTCAATAGGGGAAAAAGGAGAAACATCTGTAACAAAAATAAGTTATTAAAAAAAAATTCTTCCCAGGGGCTAAGAAGTAAATTAGATAGTTAAATGCAAAGGACTTAGCAAATTCTTTGGTTATAGAAGCACTCAACAAATAGTATGATTACAAATGAGTGGTACTGTGGATGTAAGAACATCCAAACCTGTAGTGAATTTTCATGAGTTTATCTAAGCCAAAACTGATGACAAGTGCCAGGAAGCAAGATCTTAAATGCTTCAGAAAATGACAGTTTTGTAGTTTCTTTTATTCATTTGAAATTATGCATTTGGAATGTAAGAAAGATAACATGGAGGTGGGAAAAAGCAAGACAGTAATTGGATTACAGTATGGTTAACAAGATTATTTGCTCTCTTGTTGCACAGGGTTTAAGGCAAAGACAAACATTTTCCCTCTGTACCGCAGGCCGACGCTCTAACCGCTGAGCCAAACCGGCCAGGGCGACAAACATTTTCCTAAAAAGTTATAAGTCTGGGACATGACTACCCACCATGACCTGCCAGTTAGGGATTGATGATCAGATCAGCCTGTGAGGTTACTTTCCACAAAACCCTTTTAGTACACAGTACACATACTAAAGATTAAAGTTAAAATTAGTACAAATTTTTTGTTGTTAATCCTCACCCGAGGATATTTTTTCCATTTATTTTCTTTTTCTTTATTGATTTTGAGAGGGAGAGGGAGAGAGAGAGATACAAATATCGATGAGAGAGAACATTAATGAGAGAGAACATTGATTGGCCACCTCCAGCATGCCTCCCACTGGGGATTTGGCCCACAACCTGGGCATGTGTCCAGACTGGGAATCGAACCAGTGACCTTTTGGTGCATGGGTCGACGCTCAACCTGTGAGCCACACTGGCCAGGCTCACTTTCTTTTTTTTATCCTCATCCGAGGACATTTTTCCATTTTTTGTTCAGATAGAGTGGGAGGGGGAGAGAGAAACATCGACATGAAAGGGACACATCGAGTGGCTGCCACCCGCACAACCCAACCAGGGCCGGGACAAACTGCAACCGAGGTACGTGCCCTTAGCGGGAACCAAACCCAGGTCTCTCCGGACTGTAGGCCGACACTCTATCTGCTGAGCCAAACTGGCCAGGGCTCCATTGATTTTTTGAGAGATTGTGGAAGGTGGAGAGGGAAAGAGAGAGAGCAATGTAAGACACATTGATTGGTTGCTTCACACCAGGGATTGACCCTGCAACCCAGGTACGTGCCCTTAACCGGGAATCAGACTTTCGATCCTTTGGTGCACAGGCTGAGGCTCTAAACACTGAGCCACACAGGCCAGGGTTAGTAATAAACTTTCAAAATAAAATTAACTATGGGGCCATCACATATACCACCCCCCAAAAAAATCACTTTGTAGTTAGTTATTTAAAAACTTTTCTAGTCCAGCTGGTATGGCTCAGTGGTTGAGTGTCGACCCATGCACCAGGATGTCCTGGGTTGGATTCCTGGTCAGAGCATGTGACCAGGTTGTGGGCCCGATCCCTAGTGGGGGGCATGCAGAAGGCGGCCAACTGATGTTTCCTCTCATCGATGTTTCTCTCTCTCCCTTTCTCTCTAAAAATCAATAAAGAAAAAAATAAACTTTTCAAGCCCTGGCTGGTTTGGTTCTGCGGTTAGAGCATTGGCCTGCAGACCAAAGAGTCGTAAGTTTGATTCTGGTCAAGGGCATGTACCTCTGTTGCAGTTCAGTCTAGCCCTGGTCAGGGTTGTGGGGAAGGCAGCCAGTCCATGTGTCTCTCACCCAATGTTTCTCTCTCTCTCCGCCCCTCCCACTCTGTCTGAAGATAAAGGGAAAAGTTTCCTCGGGTGAGGATTAAAAAAAAAAAAAAAAAACTTTTCTGAGGCAGGCCTCTTACCTCAGTCTAGTTTCATGACTATATTTTCCAGCAGAGTTTCTAAAATAGTCATTCGGGTGCAGTCATGCAAAAACGCAAATGTTTCAATACTGCCAAGTCATGCTCCAAGGTGAACCAGAAGCGGCATTTCTGGGACCTACCTTTGCAGCTTGTCTGATGGGCACCCTGGCACCCATCAAGCACTCGGTTCACCAGTGCCACACGCTGCGTGGTCACAAAGCGCCTGCCCCAAGGACACAAGTCACTTCTCTCAATTCTGGATCTCCCTCTGCTTTATTCTCCCCATTTTAAATTGGTTCATGAAGCTTATGACATCATGCAAGAGTAACCTTGAACTTACTAAGAATCACCGCATCTTCCCGTCCTAAGCACCGTGCAGGCGGGCCGGGGTGAAGCAGAGGGCAGCGCTCACCCCGCACCGGTTCCCCACCCGCTCCTGTCCGCACCTGCGCGCCGACCTGCCGGCCGGGCCCGGGGCGGGCGCCCGGGGCTCCGTTATCCGGCTCTGGTCTTACAGGCAAGCTTGTTTTCACGATCCAGGGTGGGCTGCTGAGTTTTTACAGTCGCAACGGAAACTTTTACACAAAATGTGTTTCTGAGAGAAGGGGAGTTTCTGTCATCACCGGAACTAAACAAAATACGAGGCTCTTTCTACCTCGCACTCCTTGCGGGTGAACACGGGCGCACATGCTGCGGGCTATGCTTTGCCGTGAGTCACAACTTATGGCCTGGAGGTGACTGTGGGCGCCCACAGGGGTCCCTCCGAGCGCGCTTTCGGGAGGTCCTGACCGGCCCAGCCAGGTGGGCGGGCGGGCCCCCGGCCTCACGGCGACCCCGTCATGGCGACTCGGCGGACCACGGTCGCCACGGCCACGCAGACCCGAGCCCGGGAGGGAAAAAGGCAGCACTAGGCTCTCCCACCTTCACCCTGTGCCCAGGCCTAGGGAGAGAAAAACTTCTTTCCCTCGAGCGAACGACGGGCGACCCCGGGAGACGAAAAAACGAGGCTGCATATCCATCGCGGAGAGAACTCGGGCGCGAACTCGGGCGCAAACGGGGCCGGGCAGGCCGGCGGGGGAGGGGAGCGGAGGACGGGAGAGCCAACCGCCATCTTCCCCCAGCCGGCCAAACCGACAAAGCGCGGCCCCGCAGCCGAGCCCCCCGCCCCTCCGCGGCGCGCTCGCTCTCGCGAGACCACGAAGGCCTCTGGGAAACGCGGGGGAGGGGAAGGCAGGTGAAGGAAGCCGGGACCCGGGGCTGGGGGGCGGCTGAGACGGCGAGTGGAGCCTCAGGAAGCAGAAGGGGCGGGGAATGATGCGATTGACGCGGAGTGTAGGCTAATGATGAGCGAGCTCGGGCGGGCTTCCCGCCAATGGGCTGTGCCGCCTGGCGCGGGGGGCGGGCACTGGGGCCGAGGGTAGCTTGAGCGCGGCGGCGGCGTTGTTCAGTCAGAGCGAGAACATTCCAGAGGTGAGTCCGGTGGAGAGGTGGCGGCCCCGCGCCCCCTTCCCAGCCCTCCCCGCCCCTTCGACCCCCGCGGGCCGCTGGCTGGCGGGGAAGGCGCCCCGACGCCCGTGGCTCACGGCGCCGTCTCTCCGCGCCAGGTCGCCAGGCCCCGGGCGCTGAAGGGTGTGGACCCCGGACGTCGCTGGGACAGCCCCTCCCCGCTGCTCGGCGGCGCCTGCCCGGCCGCTGCTCGCTGCGCTCCTCCGCCGCCCCTCCTCGGACTCGGGTTCACAGGCGCCTCTCTTCATCCCAGTTCCGGGCGAGCAGCGTTGGGTTTATGTCTTTATTTGACGAAAACGGTGAGTCCGCGGGCGGCGGGCGGCGCGGGCCGGCGGGGAGATGGCGGCCGCACAAGATGGCGGCGCGCCGCGTGACCCGGCGCGTGTGGCGCAGTTCGGGCGGCGGGCGGGCGCCCCCTCCCCGCCGCGCCCCCGCCCCCGCCCCCGCCCCGCGGGAGCGCGCCGCGCGGGCTGAGTCAGGCCTCCGTGCTGCATTTGTGAGTCATCGCGCGGGCGGGGCGGCGCGGGCCTGCGCCCCTCCGCGAGTTTCGTTTCCCCGGCCCCGCGCACAGGCGGCCAGCTGCGGCCCGGGCACCTGCCGCCCGGGAGGAGCCTCGCCATGTCGCGGCGGCGCCCGCCTCGCCCGGGGCGGCCCTTCGCAGCGGGGACGGGAGCAAAGGTCAAGCGAGTGTTTGCACACAGCGGGGCCGGGCGCGCCGGGCCGGGCTGCGGTGGGAGTGTTTGTGAGAAGTAAGCTTGTTGCCGAAGGAACAGCTGGTAGAGGACAAACCGGCGGCCTCAGAACGGCCGCTCGTGGGGGAGGACGTGTATCAGAACTGGGTGCTGATCGAGGCGGAGGGGAGGGTGTGTGCGCGTTTTCCTCTAAAGTGAGGCCTCTCGCCGCATGGAACCGACTGCGTGGTTCGCCGTGGTTATAAACCCACAGCAGCTGCTGGCGTTTCCCTGCCGGTCCCATCTCAATCGAAAGAGGCCTTTTATTGAAGTCGCTACCAGTGCCCCGTGTTAGAGAATGCTCGTGTTCATTTGAACTCGGGAGCTTTCTAACACTGGAAAATGGGGCATAGTTCACTGGAATATACAGGGAGCTGTTTCCGTACAGGAGTCATGCTAAATGTGGGGGGTGGGCTTGTGTGTTTTTTCTCCTTTCTCTTTCAGAGCTGTTGCGCAGCCATTGGTACCTGTATTGGGGAAACATAGCATACAAGCAAGGAGCTTACAGCCTCAGTGGCGAAAACTTTTTCATGTCAGAGACCGAGAACTCTTGCAGTCGTTTATGTCATCCCTTCTTCTCCAGACAGAAGATACCAAAAAGTTGCAATCAAAGATCTCTTCATCTTATTGATAAAGCCACTAATAAGCCAAAATGTCTGTCAACGTCAACCGCAGCGTGTCAGACCAGTTCTATCGCTACAAGATGCCCCGTCTGATTGCCAAGGTGGTAACTTTTTTCATTTCAGTAGCAAGTCCTAAGCTGTTTTCATAGATTCTTAAAAGATTGCGTTACTTGGGTAGACAGTGGAAAATTAAATTCTTATTTTCTTTAGGTTGAGGGCAAAGGAAATGGAATCAAGACAGTTATAGTCAACATGGTTGACGTTGCAAAGGCGCTTAATCGGCCTCCAACGTGTAAGTAATGCCTCTTGGATAAGTCTGAAAGGCATAGTATTGATAGTCACAACCAACTTGTACCTGCAAATCTTGTCTGGATTTTGTATACTGGTTAGTGGAAGGGTTAAGTGGAACCTTGGATGTAAAGCCAACTGATTTATTGCCATTAATACAAAAAAAACTGTACAGGCAACACATTTTTTTTAACCCAATTTTTTTTTTTTCTCTTTTACTGATTTTAGGGGGAGAGAGAGAGAGAAACATCAGTGAGAAAGAACATCGATTGGCCGCCTCCTGCATGCCCCCCACTGGGGATTTGGCCCACAACCTAGGCACATGCCCTGACCTGGAATCGAACCAGCAACCAACCTTCTGGTACATGGGTTGATGCTCAACCACTGAGCCACACCAGCTGGTCTTAACCTAATAATTTAAAAGCATAGAGAGTGATACTTACATAAATGTGGCTGAGTAGCCGAAGATTAATTTCGTTAACTGTAATCAAACTCTTTTTTCCAAACAGATCCCACCAAATATTTTGGTTGTGAGCTGGGAGCACAGACCCAGTTTGATGTTAAGAATGACCGTTACATTGTCAATGGATCTCATGAGGCGAATAAGCTGCAAGACATGTTGGATGGATTCATTAAAAAATTTGTTCTTTGTCCTGAGTGTGAGAATCCTGAAACAGAGCTGGTGAGTGCCTTTGAGATTTTTGTCAATGAAAGAAGAAACTATATACCTGTTTTGTAATCAGTCCTATGACAGCACCAAATGTTTTGACTAGGCAGGGCAGATTTAATTGGAAGTAAAAGGCAAAACCTACAAATTTTGAAGATATTTTCAAAAGTGATTTTTTTGAGTAGATCACTATGGAAAAACTCAATTGTTAAGATGGTGTTTTAGATGTCATCTTTTGGCTTATATGTTTTTCACTTATTTCTCACAGAATTTCTATGTATTATGAGTGACACTTGTTTTTACCTTTTTGGCAGCATGTCAATCCAAAGAAGCAAACAATAGGTAATTCTTGTAAAGCCTGTGGTTATCGAGGCATGCTTGACACACATCATAAACTCTGCACATTCATTCTCAAAAACCCACCTGGTAAGTCTTCATGATGAACTTCTAAGATCTTATCATAAAGAGACTGATTTTTGGAAACAATGGAAGTTTCATTGTTTCTGTAAAACAAATGTAAGGAGAATGGAGGGCTGAGCTCATTAAGCCTAAGTGCAAGCAACACTCTGTGGCAGATAATCAAAATTGTCTGACACAATTTGAGCTTGCTATAGCAACAAAGTCTAACCTATTCCGGTGCTCTCTCTTCCATGAGACAAGCCGTTATATAGACTTAGACAGTGTTCTACCTGTTGGTTAAAGTGCAGTTGAGCTATGCTCCTGTTCAAGTTCAAGGATGATGGATGCGGGTCATGAATGCTAGGTCGTCTTAATCTTACCAGTCAGTACTGTTAACATTTTGTCTCTTCTATGAAACACAGTGAGTGGATTTGGTCTGTGAATCCTCTTAGAATTTTAGGTGGCACTGTGTTTGGCTTTCTGAGAGGGGGGAGTTCAGGGGCAAAAGGACAGGGTTTTAATTTATTTTTAATCCTCACCCGAGGACATTTTTTGTTCAGATAGAGTGGGGGGGGGCGGCATGGACATGAAAGGGACACATTGAGTGGTTGCTACCCGCAGGACCCAACCAGGGCCGGGGACAAACTGCAACCAAGGTACGTGCCTTTAGTGGGAACCGAACCCAGGTCCCTCTAGAGTGCAGGCGGACATTCTAACCGCTGAGCCAAACCAGCCAGGCCATTATTTTGTTTTTAGATAGAGAGGGGAGGGGGAGAGAGAGACACATCGGTGTGAGAGAGACATGTTGATTGGTTGCCTCCTACACGACCTCAACCGGGGTCAGGGAACCCACAACCAAGGTATGTGCCCTTCATTTGGAATCGAATTTTTTAGTCCGCAGGCCAATGTTCTAACCACTGAGCAAAAACCAGAGCAAATGTTTGTAACCAGTTAGGGATAGGGCACTGAGATGTAAAATAAGCCATGGTACTAAACCTCCCTTTTTTATTTCTCGGTAGAGAATAGTGACAGTGGTACAGGAAAGAAAGAAAAGGAAAAGAAAAATAGGAAGGGCAAAGACAAGGAAAATGGCTCCGTGTCTAGCAGTGAGACACCACCACCACCACCACCACCAAATGAAATCAGTCCTCCTCCACATGCTGTGGTAAGTGCAGGTTAGATGATGTGGTAGGCACTAGAATTGTATAAGATATATTTGGTTATAATGAGCAGAAATACTATAAACACTACAACATTTTGGATTCCTGGTAGGGTTGACGGAATTGAGATGAACTCAATTTAAAGGAAAACGAACTTTGATATCATTAACTTAACTAGAAATTTGAAACGCTTTTTACATTTTTAAGGCCTTTGGTCAAGCATCTTTGCTCTTGTAAACAGGAAGAAGAAGAGGATGATGATTGGGGTGAAGATACAACTGAGGAAGCTCAAAGGCGCAGAATGGATGAAATCAGTGACCATGCAAAAGTTCTGACACTCAGTGATGATTTGGAAAGGACTGTTGAAGAACGGGTCAATATCCTGTTTGATTTTGTTAAGGTAAAAATACTTGCTTTGAGAGCAGTAGAACTTTTTTCTTTTTTTTCCAGATTTTTTTTATCTTCACCCGAGGATACTTTTTCATTGATTTTTTTTTTAGTTAGGAGAGAGAGAAACATCGATGTGAGAGAGATGCATTGATTAGTTGCCTCCCGTATGACTCGGGATCAAACCTGCAACCCAGGTATATGTCCTTGAACAGGAATTGAACTCAAAACCCTTAAGTCTGGGGGCAGACAGACACTCTAACCGCTGAGTCATACTGGTTAGGGCTAGACCATGTTGCTTGGCAAGTAACTTTTGTGCTATCATTTGATTATTCAAATGCAAGGCTTACTCACTTTTTCTGTTCAAATATTTTTTGAGTGTGATCGCAAGCACTGTCTTTGGCAACTGTTGATCATAGAAATCTTAGAACTGTCAAATTAGGGGAAACATCCATGAGAGTAGGGGCTAACCTATATCTCCACTTCATTGAATTGCTTCTATTTGCAGAAAAAGAAAGAAGAGGGAATTATTGATTCATCGGACAAAGAAATTGTTGCTGAAGCAGAAAGACTGGATGTAAAAGCTATGGGTCCTCTTGTTTTGACTGAAGTTCTTTTTAATGAGAAGATTAGGGAACAGATTAAAAAATACAGGCGCCATTTCCTACGAGTAAGCAAATTTTTTGATTCATGAGATTTTGGCTATGTGACCTTGGGAACATCAGTTTAACCTCTATTGCTCATTTGTTCTTTGTCATCCTGAAAAAAGTGTGGGACTATCTGAAAACTTCCACATGGTCTGTTAGCAGATAAAGTGATACAGAGCTGTTCGTGTGTTGACCTTTTTGAACTGTCAGGGACCATAGTTTTAAGAAACAATCCTGAGGCAGTGAATATACTTGGAATTAGTATTATCAATGTATAACATCTATAAAGGCTTGTTAACACAAAGATTATCTATTTTTGCAGTTCTGTCACAACAACAAAAAAGCTCAACGGTACCTTCTTCATGGTTTGGAGTGTGTGGTGGCAATGCATCAAGCTCAGCTCATCTCCAAGATTCCACACATCTTGAAGGAGATGTATGATGCAGACCTTTTGGAGGAAGAGGTCATCATCAGCTGGTCGGAAAAGGTGGGGAAAACACAAACGGCTCTTTTTCAAAATCAAAAGTTGGGTGTTTTTTTGGGGGGGGGGGAATAAGTATCTTCTAATATCTATTTTTTCCTACATGAAAATGCAGTTCGTATGAGTAATGTAACTTGTAGGGGATTCCTTACTGGCAGCTTGCTGCTAATAACAATATTTATTATAAGAAACAATACTTTAAGAAACAATACTTGTGGCATGTACATATTCTGTGGAGGATTTAAGATTGTGGGATGACCCGGCCCCCTCGAAGAGCTTAGTATATAAACAACTCATTTTTTATTTATTTTATTTTATTTTATTCTACCCTCAACGAGTACCTTTTTTTTTCTTTTTGCATTTACTTCAGGTACAATGGGAGGGAGAAGGGGAGGAAGAGAGAGAGAGAGAAACATAGATGTGAGAGAGACACATCGACTGGCCGCCACCCACACAGCCCCAACCAGGGCCAGGGACAAACTGCAACCAAGGTACAGCCCTTAGCGGGAACCGAACCCTAAACTCTCTGGTCCACAGGCCGATGCTCTAACTGCTGAGCCAAACCGGCCAGGGCTTTAATACAATTTTAATTCATCCACAAGTGAAATAGAACGTAGAAGGTGTTATGCACAAATATGAGAGAAGGACAGGAGGAAGCTGATGAGATAGGAGGAGGACAACTTACTATTTTTTTTAAATTCCTCAATCTAAGAAAATTGTACCTAATGTTTTTTAGGCCTCAAAGAAATATGTCACAAGAGAACTTGCCAAAGAGATTCGTGTCAAAGCAGAACCATTTATAAAGTGGTTGAAGGAAGCAGAGGAGGAATCTTCTGGTGGTGATGAAGATGATGAAGATGAGAATATTGAGGTAAGCACTGGGGAGAGGGTTAAATTTAATGCTAGTGATGGGTACTTGAGAATTGTAAAATGGTAAACTTGGTGATTGAGGCAATAAAATACAGTCTCAATAATTTGGGAAACAATCCTTACCATATAGGGTGGTGGAAATCTCTTATGTCCCTAGACATACCAAAACTGAATTTCTAATGTAAGGTTTAAATAATGCAGGCTGCGTATAGAGGAGCTAGTGGTCTGTAAAAATTAACAAGATATTTTAGGCTCTGGAGAGAGCTTATTCGGGCTGGTGGGCTTACGTGAATAACAGTGGCTTCCTCTAGGTAATTTTTATTCTTTATTTACCATTTACACTCAATTTTAAAAAGAAATTGTTTTATCAGGTGGTATATTCGAAGACTGCCAGTGTACCAAAAGTCGAAGCTGTGAAGTCGGACAACAAGGACGATGACATTGATATTGATGCCATTTAAAGGGGTGGGTGCAGCCCAGCTAAACTGTAATGCTGAGAATCTTTCTGCATCATCAGCCAGAAGTGCAGCATGTATGTGCAAAAGCTAAAATGGCTTAACATCATGCTACACTTTCTGCTAAAAAATGTATTGCTGTGAGTGGTCTGTAATTAAGCCCAATGAGACACCTCGGGAGTCCATACACATATCAGTGAACAGATGTAGTTTGCTTATTTATAGCATGTTTCTTTTTGAAAAATTAGTGGTGGACACATTTGGATCACATTTATACAGTTACAAAAATAAAAATTTGATTTTGGTCATTCTTAAATTTTTTGGCTCTGAATGACTTAAGCTGAAACAATAGGCTCCTTTTAAAACATTGTACCATCATTTGACCTGATAGGATTCTTGGAGCCTGTTAGAAACTATTAGGTGCTGAGACTAATGAGGTCTTTAGCCGAATAGAAGCATAAACTTATTTGTAATTACCTTATTCAGCCATTAAATACAGTACTTTTTAAGTCTTTTAGTCCCACATATTGGCATCTGGTAATGTACATTCTTACCATGCCAAGGTGGACAGTGCAACACCTTTATCTTACTAAGAGTAAAAATGACCTGAGTGTCCTATAAATAATTTTAAGAGGTTTTGAAACTTGAAATTTTTTTTTTTCTGTTTGCGAACACTTGCCCAAATTGCATTCTTTGAAGTCGTGTATTACAAGTTGGATGACCCAGGGGAAAATTATCACATTAATAAATAAGTGTTTTATGTGTATGTAGCTGTTGCTTTGTACTGAGATAAAATTCAAGTTTTAGGGTATGATTAAATAGTAAGTTCCATGATACTATTTGTGGGGGAAGAAGGAAAAGGTGCACTTACTCTCTAGCAAAAAAAAAAACAACTAATTTTTCAGCTTATACTTTAAATTATAATTTCAAAATGGTTAGACATATTGTATCTTCTGTTCAGTGTGGAATATCCCTGATACTATGGTTTGTTCTTTAATAACTTATATTTGGACACACAGATTTTGGTTGCTACCTTGCCAAGCTAGTGTTGCTATGTCTCAAGCTTGATTATTTTTTTTTTTTTCCCCCTCAAAATGTCTTATTTAAAAAGAAAACTAAAATTGTACTTCTTGGCCAGCCTGTATTTTGGCGAAAGGCTTGGGTGTCTCTTAGTTCACACTGAATATAATTAGACACTCGTGAGTCTGGTGATGGCCACTAAATACAAGAGACTAGGGCCTGACCCAGCCAACCTGTCCTGGTCTTTTAGATTTGGAAATAACATTTTGTGAATTCTTTGCCTAATTGGCTGTTCCAAACTCACTTACATGGGTTGTTACTATCTCTGAGAAATCATTTTCAAAGTAGAAACTTGTTTCATTCCTTTCCATAAAAAGTGCACTATGGAACCAAGAATCACGGGTGGGTTTTATTTGGAGCGCAGGGTTTCATCATTCACTTCTGATTTTCTTTGATCCATCTGAGATTGTAGTGAGACTTTAACAAATGTATGTAAAAATTTTTTCACATTGAAATTATATAAACATTTGATATAATAAAACCTTGTTAGCTTGATATTTTAAGGAATTAAAATCTAGTATTTTTACTGGAGAGAGATGAATTGGTCTCCAGCTACTTTTTGGTAGATCTTGATGAGAGTGAAGTAGAAGCCATATACCTGGAGGGAGTGTGCTTTGTCACACCAAAGAAAAAGAGGCTTTTGCAAATTCCACATCTTACCTAGCTTTCAAATTCTTTGCTATTGGCCAATTTAATTTCATAATCTGAAATCCTATAGGAGATATTGGTGGCCTAGGCCAAGTTGCACTCAACATACCCATTGTCAAGCTAATGAGGTTCTGTTATAGAGGTTGGGTTTTTTTGTTTTGTTTGTTTTAATCTGAAGGAAAACCTGTTTAGGGCTTCTAAACACTAAAGAGAAAAATTTTGGCTTAGACCGGTGTTCAGTCTGGTGCCAAACTTCCAATAGATTCAAATCCACATAATTTTATTCCCAGAGGCTATCCTAATAGAGTAATTCTTCACTTTGCTCTATTGAACTGTCTTAAAATTTCCTGTTTTAAACAGTTACGTTACTTGATTAAAACAATGTTAAAATTACATTTTTGTCTCTGCTTTAATGTTAAAATTAACCTAAATTTATCTAAGATAGTGGAGTATTGAAATCTGTCCTGTTTTGTAGCTGCTGCTTTGGATTTGTGTTGGACTTTGCCTTCTGCAGTTACCAGCCCTACTCACAACACAGATAACTGCTTACTACCTTGGGTCAACAATGGCTTTCCTTAGGTGTTGTGCTCCTGTTCTGCAACTTGAGCTGATTTTAAACTGAAAAGGTCCACCTTAATCTGATTTTATGAATTTTGGGGGGGGGGTACTTAAATAGGGAATTCAGACATCAAGTGTATAGAAGCATACCTCAGAGATACTGTAGGATCGGTTCCAGACCCCTCCCAATAAAGTAAGTTGCAATCATTTTGCTGGTGATAGGTCTTACCTTTGATTTGTAAAAAAAAAAAAAAAAAAAAAAAATCTGTGAGGCATAGTAAAAAAGTATGCCTGTAGTTATATAACAGGATACAGCATGTGTCTCTAGTTGACAAATAGAGATAGGGAAGTCTTTTCTGAAGTAGATGAACTTAAAAGGTACCAATTGGCCCTGGTTGGTTTTGCTCAGCGGTTAGAGTGTCGGCACGTGGTCCAGAGAGACCCAGGTTCAGTTCCCACTAGGGGTGCGTACCTCGTTTGCAGTTTGTCCCCGGCCCTGGTTGGTCATGGGGGTGGCAGCCACTCGATGTATCCGTTTCATATTGATGTTTCTATCTCTCTCTCTTCCTCTCTCTCCCTCACACTATCTGAACAAAAAATGGAAAGGTGTCCTCAGGTGAGGATTAAAAAAAGGTACCAATTGGTTCCTAAAGGTTTAAGGGGGGAGTGAAGGGGTGTTCTCTAAGTCAGTGCTCAGTGCTTCCTACCTTGGGGTATCTGAGAATCGCTTCCATCTGCTGTTTACTGCAGTGCATCAGGCACTGACTAAAAGCCTTTGGCCTGGGGGTAACTTACAAATGGAAGCTGGCTTTCCCAGGAAAGTGCAAGATCCAGATGGGTCGTCGACTGGAATCTACTTGGAACAAAATAGCCAACCCACAAGTGAGATTTTATTTTTAAAGGTGGGTTCCCCCCAAGATACGTTTTTGTTAAATGGGGGTGAGGGGCATCCATGTGAGAGAGAAACGTTGGTTGGTTGCCAACCAGGGATGGAACCTGCAACTTGCCCGTGTATAGGACAGTGCTCCAACAAATCCAACCCACTCCAGCCAGGGTGACAAGTGAGATTTAAACTTCTGTACAGATCTGCAAACAATCCTTATCTCATGAACTCTCTCTAATTAATTGTTCTATCTCTACCTGCCAAAATTCAGACATAATCCAAAAATGCAAAGTTAGCACAGTCTGTGCTTAGTTTGAACATTCAAATTCTGGCCCATTTGACCACTTCAAAGTGTTGTGCTTAGTACCAGGAGCAGCACTGCATTTTTGTCTCTGCTTTCTCTATCATGTGCTGTGTTCTATTTTTCCTGAGTGGAACATTTTCTGTCCCCAATACCGCCTGTACCTTGACTCTTTTGTTTTTTAATTCTCATCCAAGGACATTTTTGCATTAGAGGGTGGGTAAGAAAGAGACACCTCAAGTGGTTACCTTCCACACAGCCCCAACTGGTGTGGGGACAAACAGCAACCAAGATAAATACTGCTAGCGGGAACCGAACTCAGGTCTCTCTGGTCTGCAAGCCGACGCTCCAACTGCTGAACCAAACTGGCCAGGTCTATACCTTGACTCTTGAAAATGGGACTCCATAAGTGTAATGACATGGACAGATGACTTGCTAAAAGTCTTCAGAGACTGGCCCTGTGTGCCTTTGTTCACAGGAAGTTGGGAGTTTGTTATGTTAATCTGCAATAGGGCTTTATACTCTAGCCTTAGCTCCTGGCCCAACAAAGAGGTCTTCAGGAACCATATCTCTGGTTCTTTTTTTTTTTTTTTTTTTATCGTCACCAGAGGACATTTTTGCATTTATCTTTAGATAGAGCAGGAGGGAGAGAGAAATATCGATGTAAGAGAGAGACATCAACTGGGGCTGGGGACAAACTGCAACCAAAGTACATGCCCTTCGCAGGAACTGAACCTGGGACACTCTGGATCACAGGCCGAAGCTCTAACCACTGAGGCAAACTGGCCAGGGCTCTTTTTTTTTTTTTTTTTTTTTTTAATTGATGTTAGAGAGGGGGAGAGAGAGATAAAGATCAATGAGAGAGAACATCAATGGGCCTTCTCCTGCACGCCCCCACTGGGGATTTGGCCCACAGCGCAGGCATGTGTCCTGACCAGGAATCCAACTGGCAACCTCTTGGTTCATGGATTGAAGCTCAACCAGTGAGCCACACCAGCTCGGCTCTGGTTCTTTACAGCCAGAAAATTTAAACTGTGCTAGAATATGGGAATAGTAGCCACTAGAAGTTCTGTTCCTAGAACCTAGACCCTGGGATACAATGTTGGGATCTTTAAGCAGACAGAGTGAGTTGCTCTGGTCCCTGCTATTGGGTTATGCATACAGTGAGCTCTTTTTTTTTATCCTCACTCGAGGACATTTTTTCGATATTTTGTTAAGTTAGAGTGGGAGGTGGGGGGAGAGAGAGAGAAAAACATCGACGTGAAAGGGACACATCGAGTGGTTGCCACCCACACAACCCAACCAAAGCCGGGGACAAATTGCAACCGAGGTACATGCCCTTAGCAGGAATGTACTCTCCAGACCGCAGGCAACGCTCCAACCGGCTCCAACCTCTGAGCCAAGCCAGCCAGGGCTCAGTGAGCTCTTTTTGAGGGAAGTATTCTTAGGCTTTGGAATCTGAACTGAGTTCTGGCCAGGGTCTCCCTGTGAAACTAGGAGAACATCTTTCCATGCATACCTAATGGGAGTGATACCTGTATGGAACACTTAAAATTTTGATTGAAATCTAATGCTGCATTAAGTAAAGGTAATACCTGGTTGGGGCAAGTAGGCAGAATTGTTCTGTCTGGAAGAACGGGGTGGAAGGGCCCTTTCGACTAGAGAGCAGTTCAGGATGGTACAATTTTTGCCTCAAGCAGCCCATACCTAATGTGCCTTGGGTGGTTGTCATGATCATTGCTCATTCTCAGTAATTCTCACCAAGCCAGGTCAGGGGCAGCAGTCAGGCCATGGCTCCCTGGGGTCACATAGCAATAAATAACATTTGAACCAGTAGCCAGTCCTACCTGCTGCCTGTCCAGATTGAGTTAGCTGAGTAGTTCTCATCACAACCACCATGGGTCAGTGGCCTGGTGTTGGAGATAACCCAAAATGAGGAGGTGATGGGTGCAAGGTTCAGTGGGTAAGGCTGGGCGGAGTCTGGTCCTAGCAGTGATAATGGCACAGGAAAGGAATGTTTCCAAAGCATCCAGTGGTGTTGGTGTCACAGGGATTAGGTAACACTAAATGGTGAAGAAAAGCCCAGAGAAGGAGATGCCTGGACTGGCTCAAGGTCCAACAGCACCCACCTATGGAGGCTGGACCCCACGGCTTCTGCCTAAGCTAATACTTTGCCCCCCCACCACTACCCCATTGTACTTTAAAGAGTTTTCTGATCCTTAGGGCCTAACACTTTGTCCCCATGTTGCACTGGGAAAAACTTGCTCACCTTTATGGTGTTAGACCGAGCATGTGGGTGGGACACAGGATAGCAGTGCTCAAGTGTCCCAGCTTGGCTTCAGGTGAAGATGCAACTAAGGGGGTTGGAGCCCTCTGAAATGATCATCACCAGTCTCAGAGGAGCAGGGCATTACCCGCTGGTGTACCCCACCAGATACCCTGAGCCCCTTGATCTGCACCAGTTCTTGGATAAGCTTGCATTTGCTGTCTCCACCCTACAGGAACTCTCAGACCAAAGAGTGAAACAGACCTCTTGCAGGGGTGGGGAATGTCCAGCACTTGAAATCAATACCAGCTAACATCACACACTTCACCAAATTAGTTTGACCAAATA